AGCTTTCATGTATTTTTTTTTTTTTTTTTTTTTTGTGTGTGCATTTCTTTCTTCCCTCTCATGTTCCTTGAACTCTACTTTTCTACTTTTTTCCCATCCTGAGATTTTAAGAGATGCATGATAAAATATTTCCCTGGAAGCACTGGCTCCATTAAACCATGCTCTCTTGTGTTAGAGGTCTCTTGTACGGTCTGCTGAACTAACACAGTGCTGCTGAGTAGGAGGAAGCATTCTCCAGCTTCTATCTGTCTGTCTGCTTCTTATCCTTTATGTAAATACTGCATATTGAAGACACATTGACTCAGATCAGTGTTTATCTAAGTAATGAATCACTACAGTCTGGCAGTGTGCAAAAGCCTTTTGAAGCATAAGACATTCTTGCAGTTGGCTGGAGATTAAGGCCCAAATCCTTTCTATTAGAAGATGTTTACAGTGTTGTTTGAAATATTGGGCAGACGGTGTTGCGTGCATTATTAAGTTATTCTCATTGTGGTTGGTTAAGTTCCAGGTGTTCACTATTTGGAGCATCTGTCAGCAGCCAAGCCAACCCTTTATTGACATGTTTGCAATGACCAAAAAAAACAAAAGCACTTTGTATGGGAGAAAAAATGCATGTACACATCATTACAAACCCACAGGTGTTTTGTAAAAGAGAAAATAAATGAGGAGAGAGGTGCCAGCACATCTGATCATTGCTCAATCCTGGCAGCCTTTGTAGTCTTTCTTTTTTTTTTTTTTTCTATGTTCCTCTTTTTTTCTCTTTCATTTGCATTCTGACATTTCCTAACATATTTCCCTCCATGGATGCCTGCACATCAGATCAACAGTTCATTAACCTGCTCACAAGGTTTCGTAAAAATGGCTATATTTAGTCTACATCACAAGAATGCCCCTTATTGAATGTACCCCTTTCTCTTAAAATAATCCATCACCAAATTGAGCAAAGGAAAACAGAGCTAATTCTGTGAGTCGCCAGGCGTCCTCCTCCTCTTCCTGCGCTATGAAAGATTCCATTCACACATGGAGCTTGGCTATAATAAGGAGCGCCGTACCAATGCTGCAATTCGGGAAAGCCCATATGGTCATGTGTATCATTTTCCATTTACAGACAAGCTAACAATTCTAACAATTTGAATAAACACTGAACTAACTGAACTACTCAGCAGTTTGTCAAAAATCTGGCAGATTCCCATTCATCACAGCCTGCGTAGAGGAACATAATGGTATGTTCAGCAAACCAGGAGAGAGCCTCAGAAGACCCAGGCTAAAACAGCAGAGAAAAGTGCAGTACATTTTACTTCCAGTACAGCGTGATTACCTGTTGTATTTCAGACGTCTTGAACTGTGTATCTTACAATCAAGCAGATAAAGCAATAATTCCCCTTTTCTCAGAATTGGATTTGCCACACAGGGCCTCTGTGTGGTTTCTGAGCTTTCAACTTCAAGGTTAAGAGAACCTGTCTATGAGAGGGCGGAGGAGGAGGAGGAGGAGGAGAAGAAGAAGAAGAAGAAGAAGAAGAAGGAGAGTCCCTGCTGAAGAAAGGATGGTGGTCATGCACACAGCACAAATACTTATTGAGTTATTCAGACGATGTCCTTGATTTCAGCACCTCTTCATGCCTTGTTTTTAAAAAGACTTCAAAAGGTTTTTTTAGAAGCAGAGATAGAGGGAGGAAATCATTTGTTGCACATTCCTTGTGCTTGGAGCACCAGCCAAAGCTTTTTAGTTTATAAAGCCAAAAAGTTCAGGAGCTGGAGTTGTCCTGAATAAGTTCAAGATCACATAGACCTTTATCAAAGTTGGAGGAATAGTTTGCCATTTTGGAAAATTGGCTTATTTATTCATTTGTTTGTTTATTTCTTTGCCAAAAGTTAGTTAAATGAGAAGATACCACTCTTACATCTGTTTGGTAAATATGAGGATACAGTTCGTAGAAGGTTAGCATAAAGTCTAGAGGCGAGGAAACTGTTAGCTTGGCTCTGCTCAAAGGTGATGAAATCCGCTTTGCTTCTGACAAAGCTAGCTAACTGTTTAACCTGTGCTAAGCTAAGGTAACCGGCTGCTGTCTGTAGCTTTATATTTAGCAGAAATGAGAGTGATATGACTCTTATCTAACTCTGCAAGAAAGTGAATATGCGTAATTTGCATAAAGTACCAATGCCTTAAGACATCACAGTGTACCAAACTTAGCTAATTTAGGCAAAGTTTCACAGAAACACAAATCAAAAGTTGTCTGACCATAACAAAAAAAGGATTCTCCTCAAGAAGACTTTGGTTGAGTGTACAACTGCAACAACACTGCAGAGAGGTTTTGCAGCGCATCGTTGTATATTTTTACAAATGGAAAAGAGCATTTACATGCTCCCCTATCTCTTTTTATTTTCTTGGGAAGTATATCATTCTCACGAAATGTCTTTGTTTGACAATGTAGGTTCAATGTGTTTTGAAACTTTGCTTCAACTAAACCTTTGACATGAATCAGGCCTTGTTTTGAACGCCAGTCCCCTCCATTAATCTAGAAGCAGCACATGGTTGAGTGGCTTGTGGGACCATAAGTCAGAGGAGATAACTGAAGCCTATTTGTTCAAGATTTTGTCAGAAATGAATTTATGTTTTTATAAGGCGGTTCAGTCTTTTGGGATCAACTCAGTCCATATGAGCCCCAGCAGCACCAAGCCAATGCTGTGACCTGTTTGTGGTAGTAAAGCAGAGTAGAAACAGTGAGCGCCTCTGTTCTGCTTTCCTGGTAGGAGAGGAGTGAGATATGGGCCAGCTGACAACAGCCAAAAAGACTGTGGTTGCGTTTTCTCCACAGACATAAACAATGACACTTCCAATTTCCTGTGCATGCTGTGGACCAGGAAAGGCCATTCACAGAGAGGAAGGAAAACTCTGAGTGTGTGTGTATGTGCGTTCATGCATGGTTGGGAAAGACAGAAACAAAAAGGAAGGAGGCTTTCATTGGTTTTTACGCTCACAAGATTCCCTTTTTTCACTGAGTTTTGTGGCATGACGTTTTTTTTTTTTTTTAAAGAAAATATGAGTGTGTCCAGCTTTTTAGCATATGAGGTCATGAGCACAGCAGTCCAGATGTTGTACCTGCAACTGAGATACATCTGTTGGCAATGTGATGGATAAAACGACCAGATGGAGTTACCTGTGTCACCTCCCCCCACTGCAGCCCCATCAGTATAATGAACTTCTTGTTTACCATATGTGTGAAATGCACCAAAGGAATGTGACTCCTATGTGTGTTAGAGCGTGCGTGTATGTGTTGAGAGAGGCCATGTGTACTTACCCTCCCCATTGTTTTTACTGCTACTGCTACCATTTGTTCTGAGGCACAGACTGTGCTCTGTGTACTTTTGAGGGCTGTTGAAGCTATAGGGGTTGGTTGCATTTCCTCCCCCTTTCTCAGCCCCCCAGCCCCCCAATCTCCTGTTTCTCTTCGGTGTCTAGTCTACCCAGTAATTCAGGGTTTTGTTTAGTTTTTGGTCGGGGGGTTAGTCGAACGCCTGGCGCTTTGCGAGCAGCGGCGCAGGCCTCCTAACACCATCACAGGGTGTTTCGGCCCGCTCCACTTCACCAGATCTGAGGGAGCAGGCCCGAGCCAATTAAGAGCAGGGAGAACAGGCTGCTGTCCGTCTCACTGTGACCCGCCCCCCTCATCGCTTTGATCTCTTGCACGCTACGCAAAACCGAAGCCAGAACACTTTACCCTCTCTGTGCAGGCAGTGGACGACAGGGCTTGTCCAATTATTACAATCTGGTTTCAACATTTCTGGGTAATCAGACAAAAAGATGACAAATTACCTCTATCTCATTCCATCTGCCCACACCCATGCTGGTTTTACAGCTGCGTTTAGTCAGGGAAATTAGGACTCTATATTTACATATATATATGTTTTATTTCATTTGCTGATTTCACTGCACTGATTTACACCTGTAAAGTGTAGGTAAAGTTTGTACTTGTAAATACTCAGTGCAGTGTTGTTTGTTGGGCAAACTAAGTTATTGGTTAAATTCATACTTTTGAAATTGTTGTACATAAAGGAGGTTACTCTCATGCCTTTATTCAGTGGCTCAATCATCCTGATTTAGTTTTTTCCATAATTTTTCCACTTATGTGCCATCTTATTGTTTCCTCTGCCACTTAACACAAGAGGTGAGTTTCCTCAAGCTGCACCTTAGGGTTTGGTGTGTGGTGGTGTAGATCATTAGTTTCCAAACTGTGGGTTTAGGAGTCCCCAAACGGGTCACGAGATAATTAACAGGAGAGGAAAGTGGAAAAAACATTGAGATTCAAAGTTCATTCTTGATCTTGGAAACAGCAGTTGGCGAAACAATCTCACCACAAGGTCCATTCAGTGGTTGTTCTAGAGCTTTTGATTATATCATGCAGTCTTCATCAGCAGATGGAGTTGCCCATTTTTTAATGGAAACGTAGATTCAAATTTACATTCCTCATGGACTTTTCATCCATGTTGGCTTACAAGTTGAGAGGAAATGTCCAGAACAGCTACTGAATCGGCCTTGTGGTGAAATTGTTTTGCCAAAAATTATGTTTATTTTTCTAGAGTCAGTTCTACTCTTTTTTCTCCCTTGTCAGTTACTGTAAATTGTACCTTTAAATTGTATAAAAATCAAAAAATCAGTAGCAACTTGTGACGAGCAGTTGCAGGTAGACATTGTGTTGTCTTAGGGGTCATAGGTCAAAAAGAATTGGAATCACTGGCCTACATGCTTTTTTATTGTTGTTCCATCAAGACAAGAATATAACCATAGGAAATTGCTGAATAACTGCTTACTTCTGATTCTTTGGCACAAAATGGTTAAAGATGTGGTATGCATGATATCAGAATCAAATCCCAATTTCAATGTTATTGTGGGCTGCAGATTCAACCACATGATTTGTTTTACTTTTGCTAAACCATATTACGGTTATAAAGAATTAGTTTTAGAAAATTGATCATTTTATTATGCGGTTGTGTGTCCTCAGGACCTCCACGGGTGTCAGAGAAGGTTGCTCACAGACAAACAGCCCGGCTTGGGAGTGCCATCAAGCTACCGTGTCCGGTGGAAGGAGACCCTCCACCCTTAATTATGTGGACCAAGGATGGGCGCAACATCCACAGCGGCTGGATCCGTTTCCGAATCCTGCGCATGGGCCTGAAGATCAAGGAGGTGGAGGCAGATGACACGGGCACCTACATCTGCAAAGCCACCAACGGCTTTGGTAGCGTTAACATCAACTACACCCTCATTGTCATCGGTGAGTGCAGATGGGGTTCAGTTTGTATAACCTGTTTCTCTGCTGGTTCCTGAGATGAGATCATTGATTGTTGTAAAATGTGTCAGTCTTGTTAAAAATTCAAGCTCAATTCAGCATCTATAAAACATGAAGTCACCTGTGTGCTAACTAAAACCAGAGACCGTGTCAGCCTCTAATTTGTACGGTCAGACCACATCATCTTCCGCTGTGGTGTTTTGAGGCCACATTTGTAAAGTTTCCCTGCTGTCAAAAATCTCACCACAGTTCAAATGTTAAAAGACAGCATCACTCACAGAGGTCGAGGTCTAAAACAAGTGGATTTATGGAGGTTTAGTGCTTGATCCTCTCATCTATTGTATGTGTTGCAGCCCCTACCTCTCCCTGCCCAAAGTCAACAGCGGCATGGGATATTGTTTCATACTACTTCATCCTCTGTGACTCAATTGGATCTCAGGCTCTTCCTTTTCCTTAGGCTACACTCTGTGGAGGCAGGAGGTCTGCAGCTCCACAATAAGAAACACATTCAGTGTAATAGTGCCTGTTTGTCTTCAGACTCTCACACAGCTCTTGAATGGGGCTTGGAGGATTAAGCACAGTCTGACTGAGTGTGTTACTCGTTTGTTCATGTGCGTACAGTGCATTTCCTCTGCACTACAGCAGAGCATGATGAATGAGCAGAGTGGAGCGTGAAGGCTGTGTTTAGTCTAATTACTCTAAGATGCCTAATTAGGGCCAGAGTCTGCACTCTCTCTCCGCAGAGGAGGAGTTACAGCCTGGTCTTGTGACAGCTGTGCTTCAGAAGAAGAGCCATAATCAGGCAGATTTGGAAAACACTTGAAAAGCACTTCAGAAAACACCGCTTGTTGTAATAAAGCATGCACATCAGATGGGAATAGACGGGACCAAAGTTTATTTTAGTCTCCCTCAATGTGAAGTTGTCATTGAGTTCAAAGAGAGGGTGTCTGCTGATTGTGCTAAAATGACAGGTTGGAGATCGAGGCAACGAGCCAGCTATAATGTCAAGGTTCATTGTACAGTTGTGCCATATAGCATCAAAGTCAGACGTGGCTTTGTGTGTGTCGGCATTGCACTTACAGAGCACTGAAAATGGAACATATTCAGAATCATTCATGTGATGGATATCCCAGTGCTGTCATTTTAAGTTTGCGTCAATGTCCTGATTGGATACTGTCAGACTTTTTGGTGTGTTTTCTATTTGATGTGATGGAGTATGTCTACGTAATGATTTTTCACCACAGAAAGTGAATGTAGAGTCTTTCAAGTGCGAAACTTAAACTAAACTTGAAAGGTAAACTCACTGAAGTGAAAGTAGCAAAATACATCGGCAGATATTTTTCATCAGTAGAAAAAGGGGATCAGGACTTTTTGGGAGGCATTTGAGTTTTTAAGAAAATATCGATACATGGCAGCAAGTAGATCTTTACATCATTTCAGGTTCGTAATGAAAAGTGTCTCAAGTGTAATCACGGAAAGCAGTTGAAGGAAAAATTGTGCTTAGACTTTTTTTGGGAAGAAGTTGGATCCCCCTAAAAAAGTGTCCAGAAGAAGAAGAAAGATATAAATACACAAAAAATTTTCCCTAATATTGAAAAAAAATGCACTGCTTTGCTTACTGAACATTGCATGTGGCGGCTGAATTGCAGCGCGATAATATGGTAATATTGTGGTATTTGGGAGACACTAAATTTTGGATATCGCCCAAGTCTACTATCCTCCACAGCGGGTTCATATCTATGATTGAAATCTCAGTTTTTATAAACTGTACATCCCCCCAAAAATCCTTGAGGAAATCTAATGCTTATATGCTAGAAATGCTTATGATTGGGTTAAAGTAAAGCTGATCACTATTTACTGAGTCTACCTGGTGGTGGTGTTATTTCATATAAACCTGAAGTTAGTTTTGGCAGTGATGTTCTTAGAAGTCTTTGTAAGCTGAGAAAGAGCTTGAATAAACATGGCCAAACACAAATAAAAGAAAAAAGCGGGCTGCAAAAGTTTCCCTGGCCGCTGTGTTCTTTAAACATGTAAGGCAACTTTTTTTAAAATGAAGCATTTGTATCTGCAGCAGACAGTAATACTGTACATGCACATGGAATATTTGAGGGGATTTAAATATTGATTTAAAGCTGGAAGATAAAGAAGGATAGTTTAGATAATTTAAGGCCAAACTACACACACACACACACACGCACGCATACACACGGACACACACAGACACACACAGACACGGGAGACACACACAATTACCCAATTAATCTCGGTGATAGATAACTTTCTCCCAGTGGTGTGTTTATGTGACAGAGAATTTGTCTGGTTTGGCTTCTGCTGTAAGTGTGACTGAGTGAGAATGAAGACTTCAATGAAAACAGTTGAAGACCGCTGTGATGAAGCTGGCAGCGGTCACCGGGAGATCAGTTCAACCTGACTGCATGCGTCGCTCTACTCCCACTCGGTGATTACTTTAGGAAAAAAATACCTTTGGAAGTTCAATCAGAAGTCTTTCTTGGAAGCATGTTTCCTTGAGATTTTTATCACAAGTGTTTTTGCCCTTTATGGAGTTACCTAGAGACTTTCTGGCCTGACTCTTAATCCTTAACTGGTTTGTTCCATTTCCTACTTGTCCTCTGGTGGTAGTGAGTGCGTGATAGACCGACTCTAGATACTCAACCCTCCCCTCTCTCTGCTCTCTTGTCCGTCATCCATTACACTCTGGCAGTCCATCACCGCAGCGTTTGTTTTTATACATAATTGTTCCATCGGGGGTGCAGTGGAGTTTGGGTGCCTTTTTACCACAAAGATTAGGGGGCCTCATTGTCAAAACACTTACAGTATAATACAGCCAAATAGCCCGCAATTACCATGAGCAACACTTTCCATCAAGGTTGAATCAACTAATTGTTAGCTATTTTAATTTAGTTGAATGCAGTTAACCTGCTTGGAGCCCTATTATGTTTCTCAAAAAGATCAGAGAAGAGTTTATTTATTTGAAATACTGTAAATGAGGGGTATCTCCCAGCGTAGCTCTACATACAGTATCTGTCATGTCAGTTTATTATTTTTACTGGATCACAGACTGAAAAAGTACAAGAAGCAACTGCAGCCAGTTATAGTGCCGGTCAGGGGAAAAGGGTCGACAAAATCCTGGCAGCTGTTCAAATTCAAGCCCAACGTGGAAAGCATAACTTTTTAAACATTGCCTGGGAGCCAGCAGAGAAACCAAGCAGAAGAAAGACACTAAGATAAAGAGACAGCGAAGACGTGGAGTAGGACTGGAAGTGAGAGTGAGGGGTTTTGCAGGGTGATGTAAGGAGGAGGAGGGGGTTCCATTGCGGCTGGAGAGATATCCCTCTTCCCATCTGCCAGCGGACAGCCTGTCCTCCCCTGAGCTATCTGAAGAATCTGGTCAGTCAGTGCAACATGGCGCCTCCTCAATCCCTCCAGCTGGCTGTTTGGGCCCTGTTTGGGGTGGTCTCCTGACAACTGGCCCCATCACCTCCCAGCACCCCCACCAGGACAGACTGATACATGCAGCAGCCTCTCCGTCCCCAGCTGCTCAGGCTGCAGCAGGTTTCATATCAGCATTAACATGGGATTGTCATATTAACATTTACAGGATTGGATTTTAACATTTATGTCTGTACAGATAATATATTACAGGGCTAATACAGGGCTGGCAGCACACATTATTTCTACATGGAGATGTTGGCTCTCGCAGCACATTTTTCATTTTGCTCCTTTCCAGCGACATTGTCAGGCCAAATGTTGTATAAACCGCCTCGTGTGTGACTGATCACATGTGGTAGCTGTCTGGAGATTTCCAGAGTGTGATGCAAAGCCACTACACATAACTTTTCCTGGACATTACAATGTCCCCAACAACATCTGGAGCTCATTGTGACCCCAGATCATCAGGCCTTTTCCTGTGATGCAGCTGGCACTGGAGGCCAGCAGAGAGAGTGTGTAGTGACTTGTTTCCTGTGGCTGGATTTGTGAATGAAGTGGGAGGGGATGGCGTCAGAACCGAAACACTGCAGCAAGACCATGAATGGATTCAGGTTGTGCGGAAGGAGGCTGATTGCATTTTAAACAACTTGATAGTTTAACTTGGATCGTTTACTTGCATGAGCATTCACTTGAATCATGATCCTTGTAATTGAATTTCCATTTGCATAATGAACCTTTTGATTTCATACAGTACATAAAGTATAAGGATTTTTGTTTGATCACTGATTCCATAATAAGTTGCAGCTTTTACTGAGTTTCCAGTATACAAGAACAAGCCTCTCGTGTAGTTATAGGCCTCTCAGTCCCTCATTTATTATTTTATTTTTCAATCTTCCAAAAATAACAATCATATGGCAGCAGTGGGATGCCTTACCTCGCCCCTGTCTGCAGCCTAGTGAGTCAACATTGTGTAGAGACAATAGTGGCAAGGGATAGCTTTAACAGGACAGACGTATAAAAGGTGCCATTGTTCCTTAGAATCGCCAAAAAGTAGAGAGGAAATAGATTCAGAGAAAAAAAAAAGTCAAAAAGAAAACCCCGGCAGTGTGGGACCATGTTCTGTTTGGATTGGGAGGTTCAGGAACCGGGAGGAATGTGGAGAGCCCAAGTGAGCAACAGAGAAATATTTCTTCCAGTGGAGGCTGTTTTTTAAAGGAATGGGTTATTATAGTTGGCCAGTTAAACCCCTTCAAATAGCCATGACATCATGGCTGGGCTTGGTGCTGCAGGGGACAAACAAAGGAGGGTTTGTACCCAGAGAACCCTAGAGAGCTTTGAGGGTTTCGGGGGGACTCAGAGGGAGGCAGAGCGAGGGGGTTAGAAGTCACATCTGGTCTCTTTACCTGACCCAATCAAACCCTGCGAGGGAATCAAGTGTGCCAGACTGCATCTAGAAAAATCCAACATGAAGCTGCGCTGAACCAAAAATCAAAACAAGACACAAAAGGTACAGAGTTGGCTGGTAGTTTTTCCTTTTGGATTGTTACTAAAACATACAGTTAACTTGGCCCTGTTAAAAATGCTGCGAATGACTTAAACAGTCATATCTAATGTGAATGGACACCTCAGTTATATCATATTAAATCATTTAACAGCAGCCTCTCTTCAATAATCATCTGCTTAATGGTCTCCTGCACAGAGATATTGGCCAGGAACCCGATCTGCTGTATTAATTCATCAATGCTTAACTCGAACAGTCGATACGCATCACAAACCGTCGATTAGGTTTCACTCATTATATTTTCTCTAAGCCCTGTCTTAGCGCCGCTGCATGATGTCAGCCAATGACATAAACTCCACAGCTGTCTCCTGGAAGCAGGCTTATGAAAACTGATCATATTACTTCCAAATGCTAGCAGCATTTGCGAGCATGCACCCCGCTCAGAGGAGCCTATCTATAAATGCTAAATTTATTCAGATAGAGCCAAGAACACTTTGCTAGGACTGCTTGGAGTTGGGTCGCTGCCATAAGAGCTGTGACAGTGACACTGTCAAAAATTACAAACAGGATAGTAATTGTAAGTTAAAACAGGCTTTAAAAAGAGGAACACACCTACAATATCACTATGGCACTGATATTTCCCTATAATTTGAGAAGTATAGTCATTTCAGAAACATGTGGCTAATAATACACTATTACTGTGTGATGCTTCAGACATCACACAGCTGTAATTGAAAGGGTTTTGTTTTGACAGCTTAGAAAAAAGAAAGTAAGTAGAGCTTGATTTAAGTTTATTTTGTCAAATTGTGGAAGTTTAATATCAACTCTGCAAGTTGAGTAAAAACACACAAAAGGTTTGAAAGGTTTGAAATGTCTAATTGACAGCTGCTGTTTGGTGTCGTCAGTTCAGTTGAACATTCGTCTTTATACAACTTTATTCAGATTATAATCCCTGACAGTTTCTATGACCTTTACCTTCTATTGTTTAAATGCAGCCATACTACTTTTCCACACTACTTTGAATTATTTGCTGCAAGATTTGTTTTATTGTAATTGCAAAAGAACTTACACCTCACTGTTTTGTTTGGCCCTCAACTGTTCTGTCCTGTTGTGTTAACAGATGACTCAGGTTCTGATAAAACTGGACCGGGAGCAGCTGACGGAGCAGAGTCTGAGCTTGGCAACGATGGTGTGTCAGACAAATTTGGTACGAGCTCTGCTTGCTTGGCAAGCTATCAATGCTGCCGTAGTAAATTAAAGGATCATAATAGTGGTTTTGTATGTTTTATCTTATTTACTACAAAGCACATGTACTTTCACAGCTATTTGAATTGAAATTGATTTTAATCTCTAAATGATGAAATTGATTCAAAAAGTTTGCATTGCTTTAATCTGCAATGATATTAAAATATCAATTGGGTTGATATACGTTGTGATAGACTGGATACCTCAAGCAAGTTTTAACAGTCTACAATTTGATTTCAAAGCCATAATTAAATTACTGGAAATCAGTGGGTGTCTGGAAATGACAGCAAAAGTGTAAATGACTGTTTATATGATTTTTAGTTAAGGAGCTAAAACTAAAAAGAAAATGCAGAAGAAATACTGAAACATAAAGTAACTAAAGGTTTCTTCTTTTTACCCGTTAAGTGCGTCCCCGCTTCACCCAGCCCGCTAAGATGAGGAAGAGGGTGATAGCCCGTCCTGTTGGCAGTTCAGTGCGGCTCAAATGCACGGCCAGTGGAAACCCTCGACCGGACATCGTGTGGCTGAAGGACGACAGGCCGCTCACGGAGCAGGAAGTCGGCGAGGGCCGTCAGAAGAAGTGGACTCTGAGTCTGAAGAACCTGACGCCAGAGCACAGCGGCAGATACACCTGCAGAGTCTCCAATCGTGCAGGGGAAATCAACGCCACGTATAAAGTTGAGGTCATACGTGAGTATCCCACAGAGAGGCTGAGCTGTACGCATACCAAACATCTTCACCTGGAAATACTAGCCCTAATGCATGATGTAAAGCAAATTAATTTAAGTGAGTACTGCTGTTTGTGTGCATCATTTTTGTGATCTTTTGTACATTGCTTCGGGAAATTGAAATAGTGTAATCACTGTAATGATTGGTCTGATTTTGACTGAGGAAGGACTGTAACCTCTAAAAAAAATCCCCTCTCTGATCTACCTACTCCTGACGTCTGATTGCGAACAGCAGGTCTTATCCTTGCTGCATGATGAATGTGCTTGTGTAATCATGTATATGAGAAGCATATTGAGGAAGCAGGCTTGAGAGTGAGGGCTTGTGCCCTGGTGTTTGCACAGGGGGGGAGAGAGAGAGGCTGTTCAACTCAGAGACCATCCACCCAATCTGGAGCCGATTAAAGCCCAGCTGTCTGCCAGACCCACTGCCCCCCCCCTTCCCATGAGAAATGTGTGCTGTACAACCAGGAGCAAAGAAAGAGAGGAAACTAATCACACATACTTCTTGTGTTACATGTTGTATTCCTCCCTCTCTGTCAATTATAAATTCTAAGCCCGGGGCTAGTAACGGTATGGACAACTAAGACCTCTTCTATCCGCAGAAGGGCTGTCATGTCAAAAGATGTCTGTGTGTGCGTCCTGACAGTTTTTCTTTGTGTGTGTCTATGCAGAGAGGACAAACTCTAAACCTATTTTGACGGGCACTCACCCAGTCAACACGACGGTGGACTACGGAGGCACCACGTCATTCCAGTGCAAAGTGAGGAGTGACGTTAAGCCGGTCATTCAGTGGCTCAAACGCGTGGAGTCTAACGAGGAAAGCCGCTACAACTCCACCATTGAGGTGGGGGACTCACGATTCGTGGTGCTGCCCACGGGAGAGGTGTGGTCGAGGCCTGACGGCTCCTACCTCAACAAGCTGCTCATTACCCGCGCCAAGGAGGAGGACGCTGGCATGTACATCTGCTTAGGCGCCAACACCATGGGCTATAGCTTCCGCAGTGCCTTCCTCACTGTGCTGCCAGGTGAGGCCTGGGGAATGTCTGTTTACTGTGTATCACTGCCACAGCGGTGATACAAACATACTGCAGAGCAACAAATCAGCAGCTTGGACAAGGATCTGTGCCATAAGTTTGTATATTTTATGTGGCTGTTTATTTTTCAGATCAACATTAGTGCACATTACACAATGACATCAGGGGAATGTCAAACTGAACTGAACGTTAGACGACAGGACGGATGACAACAAAGCAACACTAACAGGCACAAAAGCTTCTCTGTCACCTGTTATATATCAGTTTTTGATATAGTTTGAACTTGTTTTATTCTCCACCAAATAAATAAAACCCTGTCAATTTTACCAGGCCTTTGAGCTATTTTCCATCATCCTTTTCTTGATTGAGGGCGTTTTTGTTTTTTTCATATTTACGCTAAAGTAAATTAATTTAGTCAGTTAAGAAAAAATTCTAAAACTTTTGCAGGTTTTAGTTTCCTAAATACAAGGATTTGCTGCTCTTCTCTGTTTTATATCATTGTAAATTAAACATCTATAAAAAAAATCTTAACTCAAAGTCCACTTATTAGCTTTTTTGCAGTCTTTCACCCACATCTCTTGGCCTTCTCCGTGGACGGAGTTTGCTCAGTCATCATAACATGACCTAAGTATGGAACTTCAGTAAAATGATTAGAGGTTTTGGACTGTTGCTTAGACTTTTTATTGACTAAATAATGAATCTAAAAATATTCTGCAGATTAATCCATGACAAAAACAAGCTTTTGTTGCCATCTTAAAGCTCTTACAATTGAAGTAAAATAGCCTTTTGGTAACATTTAAGAGTTGGCAACTTGTTTTGATCCTTCTCTTTTCTGGCCCTCTTCTTTTGTAGACACAAAGCCTCCCATCACGGCCATGTTCTCGCCAACTTCCAGCTCCCTGCCCTGGCCTGTCATCATTGGCATACCTGCTGGAATAGTGTTCATCTTTGGCACAGTGCTGCTGTGGTTCTGCCAGAGCAGAAAACACTGTCCTCCACCCAGTGCTCCAGCTGCAGCTGCACAGGTACTGCAGAGCTCCCACAGGCTGCCGTATCGAGAGCGGGACAGGGGCGGTGTGGCCCCGTCCTCCAGCACAGAGAAAGACTGCATGAGCTCCATGAACTATGAGGAGTACCTCGCACAGCAGCAGCTCCTCCTCAGCCAGGGAGGACCAACGCTCCCCCCAAAAATCTACCCCAAAATCTACACAGACATTCACACGCACACTCACTCTCATGTGGACGGGAAAGTACATCAGCATCAACACATTCATTTTCAGTGTTAGCCTTGGTGCCAAATACTCCCCACTAACTGTTCCAGTATCTCAGAGGGAGAGTGAGCTGTGGACTAAACAGCAGCTCCTGAGTGTCATTCACCAGGCATTATTCTAATCAAAATCAAAAGTGGACTCTTCTCATAGCAGGACATTGTTGGGAGAGTGTACATGTGTGAAAAACAGTGGCCAGTGACACACACCTTGTGTTTTTTACATCCAAACTTCCATATTTGGTGCTTTTTTTTTACCTTCAAATTCTCACACCACTAAAATCCATTAATCCTTGTTGTGCACTTAATACAAAAAGGACAAGGAAATCTGCAGCGTGTGAGTTGAATTGCAGCTATTGAGGCCCGCTGAAAGGTCTCCCTCAGCAGCTGAATTTTGCATTTTCCTACTTGAGGTGTGGCTGAAAATGGAGGTTAGGTTTTACCTTTCACGTGATCAGCTGTTGGAGCTCAGAGGCTCCGTTATGTTCTGCCTGGTAATGAAGATGAAAATGGTACTCTAGATTTACAAAAGGGCTGGTTTTATGCTCCTACTCAGGTAGTCCTTTTGTTTTGTTAAAGATGCATAATGTTTGGAATGCTGACCACTATCCTTTATATTACCTTTCTCCATCCCTCACTTCTGTTCTACGTTAAAAGTCATATAGAGTAGGCTGGTAAATTTTTTATAGCATGTTTATGGCATGCAAACCTTGCCTAAGACTGCAAGGGATGGGAGAATTGTATTTCCATGTTAACTGAATTGGTTGCCATTATCATTTTAACTTTTTTAGGTAGGTTCCCATCACTAGTATGTTGAGATAAACCAGCAGAGGATGAGTCTTTTTGACCGCCACCTTATCCACCCACAGTATATGAAGCTGTAGTCATTTATAATCAAATTGAGTCATGAATATTTAATTTATTTTGCTAAAAAAATGTATCAAAAGTTTATTTTTCAGAGTAAGGCGTTTTACATATCTATGTAATGTTATTAAAGTATACTGTTGTTGTCTATAGTACATTTTGAGTACTTTGTCACCCAGTTTAATCACATTTAGTTCATGCCAATATTTAGGTATTTCTGTATGTAATTGGTTGTATTTGACAATCTTGTATGATGTACTCTGTTCAAGGCTTAAAAACTAAATCATCTAAAAGTTTGATGGTTTGGTAGTTTGATTAAATGACCTGAGACAAAATAGTCACATGCTTCATAAAAATTCATGTATCTGCTCAAACTGAACTGCACACACCTGAAAGACACCTGTGACTGTCCTCATTCGGAGTCCGTGCTTGTAAATGAAAGCATAAAAGTTCTTGTGAATAACTTAAAAATTAAGTGCTGTTGAGGTTCTGGGCCCAGACAAGTCACCTTTCTTCCTTTGAGCCAGTTGAAGTGTCTGCTGAGGGTGACGCAGAGGGCAGCCAGCAGAGGGACAGAAGTTGCCGGGATGAATGACTGAATAGATACTGTACAGACACAAGAGCAGTCTCACAGTCCCGTTTTAGATGAGTGATGGCCCCTGCAAGACTACACCGAGTGACCAGCATCTTTCCCCATTTAAGTGAATCGACCCTGTCCGCCTCCTCCCTGGTCCGCACCACCACCTCATTCAACTCCAATCTAGGTAGGATTTCCTTTCACCATTTAGGAAGTGCATTGTCCTGCTGTGGGAGTGATGTGACAGGACCCTGTGATTGCTCTGGAAAGAAGGGGAGCATTGTATCAGGTGAGCGCTTGTTTTGTTGTAAGCATTGGAGGATGGGGGGGATGAGCTTTGGCTCCAGATGGATGAGGTGAGTGTATTGTGTGTTTAAACTAGAAATTCTACACAGAACAAAAGACATTTTTTAAGCTTCTGCTATGTTATTTCCAAATCCCAAAGTAATGCTTTAAATCCAAAACCTAGATGACAAGATTTAAAATGATATAACACTGCCCCCTAGTGCTCTGACACCTTAATCATGGAGAAATTATAAAATAGGAATAACTAAAACTAATAATTGGAACAAAGTCACTAAAGCTTGTAAATCATCTTTATTAACTTTTTTACAGTATTCTAAGAACATTGACAAAAACAGACACAAGAAAAAAATTACTGCACAAGAAAGATCTCAAAGTGAGAAAGAAAAACAGAAAGAAGTACTTAAGACAAAGTATTTACAAGCAGGCTCAACCCTTCTGAACTTTGGTGATGAGTTCATCACAAAGTTTGGTCAGCTCTTCAGCCTCCTTCTCCTGGAAAAGAAAAAATTCAAGGGAAATTAGAAATAAAGACCATTTTAGATATTTTACCTTCAAAATTTCTGCAAATACACATCATCTAATTAACATGCTCACGCACCTTCTGGTCCAGACTCTTCTCTAATGACTGCACCTTCAGCTGCTCTCGACGCAGCTGGGCTTGTAGAGCTGATACCTCGGCCTTGTACTTGGACCGTACCTCAGCAATTTCTTCATTTGCACTGAGGATGAACAACAAATTAGAGTCGGCCAGTGAAAGTCTTGCAGTTTACACTATTAACACATTAAAGTCAGGTTTCTTACTGGCCAATTTTCTCCTCAGCGTGAGCTTTAAGGGTCTGGTAGCGCTGCTCCTCCTTTTTGATCCTTGCCAGGTAGTCCTGAGCACAAGCTTTCAGAGTCCCCTCATTCTTTGGAAAAGGACAAAACAAATTTACAAATCAAACTACCACAGCTTTTGTGAAATCACAAAAAAATGTATTTGTAGTTTGTAACACGGAAAGCATCGATCTTTTCTAACCTTTTTGTAACCCTCAATAATGTCCTTGTACTTCTCCAGTCTCTTGAAGAGCTCAGAGAAAGATCTCTCCATGGCGCTCAGGTCACTGGAGGTTTGATCCTTCTCCAGCAGAACCTCGTTGAGCTTTGCCTGGGCCTCCTCTCTCTCCTTCTCTTCGTCAGCTGAGCAATGCCAAAAAATTCAAGAGTCGTTTTAATACACCATTGCCTCAACAATCCTAAAGAGTGAAACGTGTGCACAATGTTAACTTACCCATCATTTTTGCAATCACAAGCTCAAATTCTGCGATTATTTTCCTGTGTAGAAGGAAAAAAAAAAAAAAAAAAAAAAAAAAGTCAAATGTCTTGAAACACTGATATTAAATAAAACTGAAAAACAAAATTAAACAAAGCACAGTTTACCTCATTTCCTGACCATCGTCAAGTAGCCTGTTATACTTTGCATTCCATTGCTCTTCTTTTTGCTTTGCCTGTTTGAGAAAATACAAAGTAATTAAAATATATTCATTTTAGTTATAATTAAACCAATTAACATGTAATCTGTGCATCTGTCTGTGTTTCAATGTAAATTTTACAAAACAAACAAACAAAAAAAAACTATTTGGTTGCTTGATTTGTCACAATTTTGATTTAAGGATGGACTTCAGTGGTTAAACCATCAGTGACATGTCTGCATTTGCTCTGTACCTACTGTGAAGGAAACTAATGGAACAACATTCTCCTTAAATGATGAAAAGAAAATTAATATGTTTTCACCTAATGTATTCCTTTAGAAACCAGATTATGCTGACATTTACAGTCCTGCAAGCAGGACAGTCATTGATATTTGACTATTAACCACGTTGCTTTGATATTAGATACTGTTTAATCCACGATGCACTGTGCTCACTGTGGCTGAATCAGATTACTCTAAACTTCTCCAGGGATTGTCTGAAAACCGACTGAAACCACACTATCAACAAGGTCTAGTGTAGTTGTTTGAATCTCTACAAAAGTGCTGTATTCACATACAACCAAACAAAGTGACTTCAAATGGAAAACCTCTACTGGCTTTGCTGTCATTTGTCAGATCCCAAAACATTGAGCAGGACATACTTCTGCTTGGACTTTGGCAATGGCTGCATCCATGTCTTTCTGACTGTACTTCAGCACTTCAATAATGGCATCCTCTGTGTTTGCTGGCTGTGTGAAAGGAGGGATGAGGCACTCGAGGATTGGAGGAGTCTAGATGACAGTTGAGAATGGAAACAAATCAAGTTAACAGATAAAGCAAGGAAACATCAGTTACAGATTCAGTCAATGGTGGTTGTTCAAGAGCGACTTACTGGTGCTGTAGCATCATCAAACAGTTTGAAATCGCCCTTCTGTGGTCCAGGTGTTGCCTCTTTTAGTGCCTTCTGTGAAGTTTCAAGTCTGAGAGAGAAGAAAAAACAAAACGCATGCTCATTTACAGGATGTCCAAAGCAGAACAAATTTCGCTCCAACATCCAGTGACAGCAGCAGCAATCAGAATAGGTGAAAACAGAAGTACGTCATACCGTGAAACAAAGTCAGCAGGATGAGGGATGTGGGTTTGAGCCGACGGGCCTGCAGACTTCTTTGGGCTCTCTCTCAGAAGGGGGTCAAATTTAAGGTACAAGGATTGTTTCCTCAGTGCAGATTCCTTGAACTGTTGACAGAAATTTTAACATTTAAATACCTTTAGGTCATGCACCGACAATCAAAGAGTTTAGTCATTTAACGAACATGAACATAAGTACTTACACTGCTGGACCCAAACTGTTCCAGGTAGTCGATTTGTCCATCAAAATCATTGGCCATGACTAGAGATCAAGATCACAGGTTAACATCAAAATTAACTTTTTGCGTAATGATGAGAGTAAAACTCAAAGTTACAGCAACAGAAAAATTCAGAGATCATTGTGGAACTAGACAAAACAGCGTAATGGTCAACGCTTACTTACACATCGTTCCAGGAACAAACTCGTCATTGAAGTCTAACATCGGCGGCTCTGACTTCTGCTCAGGTTGATGCAGTTCAGAAAGCTCAGGAAGGCTCTGCACGCTTCTCTCTTCGTGGTCAGAGGCAGCAGTCTGTCATTCCACAAAATCAAAATATTTGTTTTGAAGCAAATGAAGAGTTAAAAGAAAACAAATTATTAGGAATTAGGATTTTATCAAACTGCATTGCTTACCACTGCAGGGTTGGGCTCAGCAGCTGGGACACTCTCTCTAGCACTGCAGAGGGCAAAAACACACAAACTTAGAGTGAAATAAAGTACTGCTGCCAGGTGAAGCGTCCACTGCAAATAAATACTTGTCACACTCAGATAGAACCCTTAACATACCATGCTGATGATACAGCTTCCTTCTCCTCTGGCTTCTCTGTTTGCTCTGGAATGGCAGTTTCCATAAGCACAGGGTCAGATTTCTTGCTGCACTTTGGAGAGTTGTTCATGTTTGTTTGTGTGCCAAAGGGATTGAAGTTTGGGTCGTCAAATTTATCAAAGTCAAATGAGTAAGAGCCTTTGGGAACTGGAATGTCAGCGACATCATTGGCATCGGGCTTTACTGAAGTTTCTTTTGGTGGTTTGTCATCAGACGCCGGCTTTCCCTCTTTAGATTTTGCACCATGTGGCCTTTTGCCAAATTTCTTGGGTGGCGGTTTCCGTTTAACCTCTTTGCCATCGTCGAAATTGAACTCTAGTTTGATTGGGCCTTCCTCAACTGGGGCAACGGCTGGCTGGGATTCAGCAGGTGGAGGATTGGCTGTATTAGTGGATATTGGGATAACTGCATCTATGGGTTTTATTTCTGGCTGAATAGGCAAATTTTGTGACGTGTCCGGAATATCAACTATATCTGCAGGTTTATTTTCCATTATCTGTGGCTCCTCAACAGGCGGGTTACTGTCTGGCAACTTCTTCCCAAGGACAGGGGAATTCTGGATTTTAGAGCCACCTGTTTGGAAAGGATTAATTGCATCCATGTTGTCAAAATCCAAGTTATATGAACCTTTTGCTGGCAGTGGGGCATCTTCCACAAAGCTGCCTGATGCTTTGTCTTGATCGACACTCAGAGACGTTTTAGCAGATTGTTCTTCATCAGGCATGGCAGTACACGAATCTTGATCCTCAACTGTTGGGACGTTTGCCATTGTGATCACACTGCTGTCCGTGGAGCTGATGTTGGCGGAGATGTTAACCAGTGAATTTTCCACAGACGGGATGAATGGAAGTGTCTCATCTAGTGCCGATTCCATCTTGGTGGGCTCCTCCAAGGTATTCTCTGGTTTTGTGTTTTGAGACTCAGTTTGATCTGTAGGAAGGTTTTCAACAGCAGGCCTCGGTGGAGAGAGGACCATCTTATTGGACCCCTGAAATGGATCGATCGCATCGAGGTTGTCAAAATCCAGCTGATAACCTCCTTTGCTTAGTATTGGTATTTCGTCGTCAGGATAAGACGACACTTCTGTGGAAAAAGTCAAAGGGGGTTTGCATTAATTTCTCATCATTCAGAGACATTCAAGTGAAATAATTTTAATGTTGGATAAATTACCTTGTTTGGGCTCATCAGGATGCTCAGTGGTCTCTTGTGGCAAAGCACTGAAAAAACAAAACAGGATTTTTTTTTTTTTTTTTTTTTTTTACAGAATCCTAATTTAATTGGAGGCACGTTTCAGTAGGAGAAATGTTACTTACTTTGTTTTATCAATATTTAAGGATTCCATTGCTTTTGTACACTCATCCACGCTGGTCATCTTGACAGACTTGGATGGAGATAGAATTCTCTTAGTCACAGGGTCTCTTCTTGGAGTCTGAAAACAAACCTACACACAAATAGTTTGGTCAGTATAGTACATTTTACCTGGATGTATAGAAAGAAAATGTCCAGTTATTCCAGTAGATTTATTTATTTAATACACCTTTACTTTGCAAATGTGTGCTAGAAACATGTCTGAAAGCATCTTTTCTGTTTCTGTCCACCCACATAGGTGTTCGCATTTATTCTGTCAAATTATAAAGTTGGTTAGATGTGGGTTACAAACAGACTGAGGTCAAACTTTATAGTCACAGCATTAAAACATTTCAAGTGTCTTGTGTTACCAGGTGCAACAAGCACAACAGTCAGGCAGATTTAAATATTCCTGTTGTTGGTCAGTGACTGTATATTGTTTCCAGCCTGGTCTCATTAGGCTTTGTGAGATTAATCTACAGGAGAAGGGGGAACACAATATCTACAACGATCAAAAGTAACTAATTCTGTACCTTTATCCCCTTTTGCACAGTCTTGTTGGGCAGGTTCTCTGTCTGACGCAGGATGGAGGGCCTCCCAGTTGGCTGATCCAGGGCAAATATGTCGTTACTTGAGCTGTTGAGTTTTCCTCCGGGGCAGACCCCACGATTCTCATCATTCACTTCAACAGAACTCATCCTGTAAAAGCAGAGACAAACTATAAGTTACAGGGCTGGGATGACCCGAATACACTCTGAGGGAGGCGTCATGCTGAAAGCTGCACCCAGTTGATAAGACACTTTTGGTGATGGGTTTGACTGATGTGTGTGAAAATGATCTCCACAGAGAAAGATAACACAGAAAGTTGATAGCAGAATCAAGACAAATGTGATTCTGCCAGTTTACTTCTCTTGGTAAATCTTGGTTGTCACATAGATCATTTTTATTGGTATAATACACTCTTTATCTAGACAAGAAAAGGCTTGGCAGGGGGGAAAAAGTGACAAAGACATTTAAAAATATATATCTTAATGAAAAACTGAACCATGATCCCTTGAGATTAAAAATTACCATGAGGTCAAAGCTACACAGAAAATGCCTTATACTAGGCTGATCTGTTGACCAATATTATCTTATTGCAGAGATATATTGGTATAAGTGCACATGTTGGCTGAAAAGTAACAAAACATTGTAATACAGAATATCCAAAATGTTTGGAGCAGAAACAGTGCTGCCATTACATAGTTTGTCCACCAGAGAGCACTGGCAAGTTGATTTTTCAACTTTAAAATGTCGAGTTCAGTACACATCTTTGTCACAATTCTTTTCAATATGTTAAAAATAAATCTACAGCCACTACAGTGTTATGTAATTAATTTAAAAAATATTTTCCAAATACTGATATATTAGACTTTATATATCTAGTATCGTTCAAGCTGTAGAGCCCAGAAATATAAGCAGCAGTAGAAAGAAGAAATGCTCAGGTGACTTAGGGCTCCCGATCTGTCAGCCATGAGAAGACTATACACATTTGTCACGGCAGACGTTTTGACTTGTAACAGCAGGAGAGGCACAGGTGTAAACAATTACATTAATGGAAGGTCTGTTCAGTTAGTAAGCCATGGCAACAGGCAAAACAAATGGTTTTCAGCCATTGTCGCTGTCATTAATGATCTCTGTTGTTCGTGCTACGACATGGGAACATATCTGCTGTGAAAATGGTCTATATATTAAAAGGATTTTTGGTAATGACTTGAACTCAGAGAAACTATCAAGGATTCTGGGATGAGTGAAATGATTTCCAACTGACTTTCAACGTATGCTGGGCCATTAACATAATTAAAGCCTAGCGTTAATTATGTTAATGGTGATAGATATATGGTGACCTTTGATTCAGCACAGGATTTTTAGAATTTGAGTAACTGGTAGACAAATGTCAGCTATGACAAACTTTAAAATTTTGGTCCTAAATAATACGCCAGATTTTAACTATATGCTGAGGTCAAAATGTTTGCATTCAAGTAAGACACTTTTGAATTCGTGGTCACGTCAGTGAAGGCCAAGAACATGCTGATTAAGCCCAAGATATCCTTCCACATTACTTCACAGGATTTGTGCGCAAACACCGAGAGTGAACGACATCTTTGTCTGAATGATGTCACATGACGGACCAATGTTGCCTACGCTTGCTGTCATGGTTTAGTTCAAATTGCTGCTCCCCAACGTTAAATATAGCGCTCAACTCTGCGTTATCAGAAGAACAAATTATTTTACGTGGACGGCTAATGTTAATCATAACTTTCCATCAACAATACCAATTAGTAACTGCTTAGTTGAATTTGATAACGGAAACCTACCAAACCTTAGCTGGAAATTTGTAATAACAGGAGTCATCAGTATCGACACGTAGCGTAAGTTAGACTAATATTAAAATATCCAAAGTTAACCACAAATAACGTTCACAAAAGCCACGTTAGAGAAGCTAACTGTTTCTTGAGACCTAACGATACGATCCAGTTAACGTACAGCGGAGGACAACACAATCTCGGGATCACGTTTTATGAACAGTGCGGGAAGTAAGCAACTATTATTATCATCCTATATTCACCACTTACCTCAAAAAAACAGATACAGTTGGCAGGAATTATAACGTCTTCTGTCAGACCAAACAGCTACAAGTCTGAGCGAGAAGGAGCGACGTGCTTTTGAATCTCCCTCGCCCTCTGTGGGTGACAACCGTTTGGAATTTAAAAGTCTTGAAACGCACCAATTAAATCGCCGGAAATATTCAAAGCAAACGCGCTTCCTGGTTAGACAACCAATCGCGCTGAAGAGCGGATGTGATCCAATTTCGGCCCAGGAACCAACTTCAAAGATAATACAAACAGCAAGATTAGTCACAATAACTTAAAAACTCTGTAAACACCTATGGTAAACACTGATAAAACGAAGCACAAGCAACTGAAAGATTAAAAAAATAACCATGTTGTCAAAATGGGTGTATTACATTTTTATTTGACTGATATAAAGGACACGAGGTACTTAACAAACCTCATTTAAGATCGCTTTTTGCACAGCAGTTAAATATTTTCATCATATTTAAACGCAAAAGCTGTATAAATGTAAGTCGTTTTTGAAAGAAAATCAAGATATCTACAAGTCATCTATACGTAACACGAGAATAAACTGATGTGACCTTTAATGAACTTGGGGCAAAGATACTCTGCACTGGCTTTATGGCATGTTTAAAGCTTATATCATATTATCTGGCATGTCAAAATTCTGTTGCACAAAATAGAGTTTGAAAGGGTGTGGATTGTGAAGGGTTGTATGATTTATTGCAAATTGCACACAAGCTGACATTCAAAATTCAATGTAAACAACAACATAAAACCGCAACACATAATGTTACCACAGACTGTACACAAATATATACAGTATATTTATGCAGTCTTTAGCATATGAACATTACCCTCTCTGCTACAGTAGGTGGCGCTATGCACGCTTCCCTTTGGTCATAAAAAAAAACCAAAGAAGAAGAAGTAGAGGCAGACCTGCCCGCCAATTTTGAAGGATGTAAACAGTGTCGTCCGTCGTCTCGATCGACGTGCTATGAAGAAAGCTAATTTTACCACATAACGGCGAATATTTCTTTCTCAGCAATGAATCCCAGTGGAAAAGGTAGTGCACCAAATATGTGTTTGTTCGGTTAGTCAACTAATATGGTGTCAACATGGCACAGAGAGTCGAACTTGTTAACGCTAACATTTACTGTTTTTTGGTAACTAGCACCGCTGTTCACCTGGTTACCTAACTCACTTTACTGCTAACTTTTGAACTTGCAGTTAAACGTTTACTGTTTTAATTAACGTTACCGATTCTAGTTTATGCACACTATTTGTATGCAGGTTTACGAAGACAAAGTTATCACCTAAATAAAACGTTAACAATCTTATAATTATGTTGACAGGATCTGGCGATTCAACCCAACTTGTTGCCAGGTAAAGTATCTTTAGGAAGCTTCGATTGTTTCACCCCCACACGAACAGATAAAACTATGCTACACTGCTAACGTTAACATTAAAGATAACAACGGAAGTCATAGTCGCTTGCCATTACCCCATAGATATGGTCCTCAATCCGGGCTAATACCGTACCGTATGTACAGGAAGCCTCATTGTGTGATTGTGTTTTTTCTTTCTAAGGTGATTTTGACTTTGACTGTAAGGTTTGCTGTTTGACTGAGGAGGATGTACAGTTAATACACAACTCTTCAACCCTAATGGGATGCTATAGTAACAAACAAACACCTGCCTGTTTTGATGATGTTTAATTCTTCCCATCACCAGCTCAGTTTTTATGATTTATAAGTGTTAATGTTACTCTCTGGTGTTGCAGTGGTGACAGCAATTCCATCAAAGTTTTTGTGCGAGTCCGACCTCTGACTCAGGGTACTGGGCTCACCACAGATGGAGATCAGAGTCTGTGTCTCACAGTCACCTCACCCAACACCATCCGTCTGCTCTCAAAACCAGAGCCACGAACCTTTACCTACGATCATGTAGCTGACATGGACACATCTCAGGTGGGGTACACATGGTTATTATTGACATACCACTGGCATGGGTAAAAGTAGCTTGAGTGATTAATAATAACCTGATTTGTCAGTGCGAGATATAGTCTGTATCACTCCAGAAAGTTTATCCTGGTTGGTGTGTGTCTGATCTTTTATTTGTCATTTTTAAACAGGACTCTGTATTCTCCAGTGTGGCCAAGAATATTGTTGAGTCTTGCATGAATGGATACAATGGTACTATATTTGCTTAGTAAGTGGTCTTTATGTTTTTTCTGTGTAGTATCAAATAGGAAAATATCTTATGGCGCAACCACTCTGTGTCGTGCTTCATGCGCAGCACCCATTCATTACCTTATTGTACTCTTGCTTCTGCAGTGGACAAACCGGCTCAGGGAAAACATTCACCATGCTGGGTGAGATTTCAGTATATTAATTACATTGTGTTTTACAAATTCTTTAACATAAATCAATAGAATAGTTGAAGTGACACATTTTTTCTCTCTTGTTCTAGGACCATCTGAGTTGGATAATTTCACAGATGAACTCCGAGGGGTTATTCCTCGAAGTTTTGAGTACCTTTTTTTTCTCATCAACAGAGAAGTGGAGAGGGTGAGCTGTAACATTTCATCACCACAAAGGTGTTGTGAACCAATAGTTGATGTTTAATTATTTTCTCTAATTATTTTTTTGTTTGGCCTTTCTCTCTCCCAAAAGTCTCCAGAGTCCAAGAGTTTCCTTTGCAAATGTTCATTTATTGAGATATACAATGAACAAATTTATGACCTCCTGGACACAGCCTCAGCCAGCCTTTTCCTCAGGGAGAACATCAAGAAGGGTGTGTTTGTTGAGGGAGCAGTGGAGAAGTTTGTCAACTCAGCTGCTGAAGCTTATCAGGTAGATATTCCTTGCCCATTGTGATGAAAGACTTGATTCCTATGGTACACCTTCTATCCAATTTCGCTATATTATTTTCTAAGAATTTAGACAATAAAAATGTAATAAGAATCATTTTGTTGGTACAAAGTGTGTTGTTAATTGAACAATGTCCAATTTTTCCATAGATAGTTCAGAGCACATTAAACAAATTTGGACTGAACTGAATTAAATGCAGCTGTCATAATAAGAAATGTACTGTGGGACTGAACGGAAATTGTGTTTGAAACCACTTAGGTACTGTCCATGGGCTGGCGTAATCGACGAGTTGCCTCCACCTCCATGAACCGTGAGTCTTCAAGATCTCACGCAGTGTTCACCATGACTTTGGAGTCCAAAGAATCCATCAATGAAGTGGTGAACATCCGAATGTCTCAGCTGAACCTGGTGGATCTAGCAGGATCTGAGAGGCAGAAAGACACACACACGGAAGGCTCCAGACTCAAGGTGATGCTTCGTGCTTGAATGCTCTCACACCGAAGTACTACATTTATGACTTTTGTTGTTATTGACAGCTGCTGTCTGCATTTGGTTCTCTTTCAGGAGGCCAGCAGTATCAATCGCTCCCTCATGTGCCTTGGTCAGGTGATCATGGCACTGGTGGATGTGTCCAATGGGAAGAATCGCCACATCTGCTACAGGGATTCTAAACTCACCTTCTTGCTAAGGGTGAGTGTCTGTAGATGCAAAATATATTTTTGGTGTTTTTTAAGTGAGAATGTTGTTGTGGTAACTGTACAAGTCAACTTCCCAGGAATTCTGTCATTGTATGTACAGTATGTTCAGTGGCATAGGTCAGGGGTGGGGGTGTATGTGAAACATTTATAAATGACTCAAATGCAATTCCTACACAAAACGCATGTGTTTTTTCAGTGTTGCCTGTGTCTGCTAAAATCCCATATCAATATGGAAAGACATTTTGTAATACACAACCTAATTATGAGCTCTTTGATCAAACATTAATGGTGATGTGATGTAATTTAAATTGAAACTAGGGGGTATACATTTTGTGAACTTGACATTTTGATATTGAATTTTCACATTCATTTATAGACTTTGTTTTGTTTTGGTAGAATATAAAAGTTTATAATATTACATTCATGTTATGCACTGTAATGATTTTATGATTGTTATTTCAGGATTCTCTTGGAGGAAATGCAAAGACTTACATCATAGCCAATGTACACCCAGGTTCGAAGTGTTTTGGAGAAACATTGTCTACGTTGCAGTTCGCCCAGAGAGCAAAGTTGATCAAGAATAAGGTATCTGGCATCAAATAAAACTGTATTAATACAAACTGTACTTAATCAACTTCTGGTAATATCAAAATTAGAGCACTTTATTATCTCATCCTCATCATGCAGTTATTATTTTTTGCCAGGCCGTCATCAATGAAGACACACAGGGAAATGTGAGGCAGTTACAGGCTGAGGTGAAGAAGCTCAAGGAGCAGCTTGCACAGGCACTGGTTTCTCAGGGAGTGGACTGTGGGAGAGATGTAGCACCAGGAGGACCTGAACTCCCTATGGGTAACAATATGCTAACGTTTACACCCTCAAAGTAACATCCTGTTTTAACCAATGATGCATATTCAAATTTACAAACTCATGCATAAAGTGGAGTAATTTTTAAGTCATAACTTTTTTTTAACAAATGTAAAATGGCTTTTCTCCCCAGGCCCATCCATTGAAATTCAACATGATGTCTCATATAAATCAAAGTTTATGGCTGCTGTTCGTCTGTGGAGGAAACGAGAAGAGGAGAAGAGAGTATGGGAAATGTTTTGTTGCACTGTTATTTATTTTTGGTGATTACACTGTTGTGAACAAATAATGTTGATGCAAGGAAACTTACAGTTATATTTGACTACACTCAGACGCTGCTCGAGAAGGTGGCTCAGCTTGAGGAAGCCTGGACACAAAAAGACAAGTTCATCCATTCTAGCCGAATGATTGTCAAGTTTCGAGAAGACCATATCTCTCGCCTTGAGAAAAAAATGAAAGCAGGACAAAACTTATTGTCAGACAAGGAGTCTCAGGCTCTGATTGACCAGCTGAAAGAAGAGATCAAGATCTTGAGAGATCAGGTAATAATAATGTTGATGAGTACATCTGATGACTATACGTGTGTAACATGTAGATACAAGGTAGTAAAGAGGAGCAGATGCATCCTTTTCGGCTGTTTAAAATTTCTTTGAGTAG